CATTGTTACACATTGTTACACATTGTTACACATTGTTACACATTGTTACTCATTGTTACTCATTGTTACACATTGTTACTCATTGTTACACATTGTTACACATTGTTACTCATTGTTACTCATTGTTACACATTGTTACACATTGTTACTCATTGTTACACATTGTTACACATTGTTACTCATTGTTACTCATTGTTACACATTGTTACACATTGTTACTCATTGTTACTCATTGTTACACATTGTTACACATTGTTACTCATTGTTACACATTGTTACTCATTGTTACACATTGTTACACATTGTTACACATTGTTACTCATTGTTACTCATTGTTACACATTGTTACTCATTGTTACTCATTGTTACACATTGTTACTCATTGTTACTCATTGTTACACATTGTTACTCATTGTTACACATTGTTACTCATTGTTACTCATTGTTACACATTGTTACTCATTGTTACTCATTGTTACTCATTGTTACACATATTGTTACTCATTGTTACACATTGTTACTCATTGTTACTCATTGTTACACATTGTTACTCATTGTTACTCATTGTTACACATTGTTACTCATTGTTACACATTGTTACACATTGTTACTCATTGTTACTCATTGTTACACATTGTTACACATTGTTACACATTGTTACTCATTGTTACTCATTGTTACACATTGTTACTCATTGTTACTCATTGTTACACATTGTTACTCATTGTTACTCATTGTTACTCATTGTTACACATTGTTACTCATTGTTACTCATTGTTACACATTGTTACACATTGTTACTCATTGTTACTCATTGTTACACATTGTTACACATTGTTACTCATTGTTACACATTGTTACTCATTGTTACTCATTGTTACACATTGTTACTCATTGTTACAGAGTTTCTCATATATATATTTATTTTGCACCATTTATGCGCAGTCCATATGGTGTTAACATTTAGAGCTGAATGACAAAAAAAAGCATCTAAATCAGGTTGGGAACCCCTCCAAATAAAAATACGTTGGCCATGTCCCCCATGGCAGTGCCCAGCTATTCAGCCCCCCCCCCCCACCCAACAAAAAAAATCTGCAAAACAGAAGAAGTTTGAATCCTTTTTAAAAAATGTGCAGATACCAGAAAATACATTTCCTCGCAGCTCTACGAAAGTGTAAAAACTGAACGGAAATCCCCAACATTTAAGTCCTCGCACACTGGGGGGGCGTTTTGATAACACTGGTAACGTTAGCTGTGTAAAGTCGCGTTAAAAACCCGAGTTTTTCAGCATTTTTTAGCAGTTTTGCATTAGCATTTAGCAGAGTTTTGCCACGTTTAGCGGCATTTTCCTGTGTTTTTGGTTTTTAGCATGTTTTAGCTTTTTTTTTACCGCGTTTTTACAGATTTAGAGCATTTTTCCAGATAATAAACTCATCTAGAAACCTGCTAGTTCTGGGTATTTTTTTCCAGCCAAAAAAACATTGATTCCAGTCTATGTACACACGGACACACAGGATAACATGCCTGGGATGGACACATAGGATAACATGCCGGGGATGGACACACAGGATAACATGCCTGGGATGGACACACAGGATAACATGCCGGGGATGGACACACAGGCTAACATGCCGGGGATGGACACACAGGATAACATGCCGGGGATGGACACACAGGATAACATGCCGGGGATGGACACACAGGATAACATGCCGGGGATGGACACACAGGATAACATGCCGGGGATGGACACACAGGATAACATGCCGGGGATGGACACACAGGATAACATGCCGGGGATGGACACACAGGATAACATGCCTGGGATGGACACACAGGAGAACATGCCGGGGATGGACACACAGGATAACATGCCGGGGATGGACACACAGGGTAACATGCCGGGGATGGACACACAGGATAACATGCCGGGGATGGACACACAGGATAACATGCCGGGGTCGGACACACAGGATAACATGCCGGGGATGGACACACAGGATAACATGCCGGGGTCGGACACACAGGATAACATGCCTGGGATGGACACACAGGATAACATGCCGGGGATGGACACACAGGATAACATGTCGGGGATGGACACACAGGATAACATGCCGGGGATGGACACACAGGATAACATGCCGGGGATGGACACACAGGATAACATGCCGGGGATGGACACATAGGATAACATGCCTGGGATGGACACACAGGATAACATGCCGGGGATGGACACATAGGATAACATGCCGGGGATGGACACACAGGATAACATGCCGGGGTCGGACACACAGGATAACATGCCGGGGATGGACACACAGGATAACATGCCGGGGTCGGACACACAGGATAACATGCCGGGGATGGACACACAGGATAACATGCCGGGGATGGACACACAGGATAACATGCCGGGGATGGACACACAGGATAACATGCCGGGGTCGGACACATAGGAGAACATGCCGGGGATGGACACACAGGATAACATGCCGGGGATGGACACACAGGATAACATGCCTGGGATGGACACACAGGATAACATGCCGGGGATGGACGGACACACAGGATAACATGCCGGGGATGGACACACAGGATAACATGCCGGGGTCGGACACACAGGATAACATGCCGGGGATGGACACATAGGATAACATGCCTGGGATGGACACACAGGATAACATGCCGGGGATGGACACATAGGAGAACATGCCGGGGATGGACACACAGGATAACATGCCGGGGATGGACACACAGGATAACATGCCTGGGATGGACACACAGGATAACATGCCGGGGATGGACACACAGGATAACATGCCGGGGATGGACACACAGGAGAACATGCCGGGGATGGACACATAGGATAACATGCCGGGGATGGACACACAGGATAACATGCCGGGGATGGACACACAGGATAACATGCCGGGGTCGGACACACAGGATAACATGCCGGGGATGGACACATAGGATAACATGCCTGGGATGGATGGACACACAGGATAACATGCCGGGGATGGACACACAGGATAACATGCCGGGGATGGACACACAGGATAACATGCCGGGGTCGGACACACAGGATAACATGCCGGGGATGGACACACAGGATAACATGCCGGGGATGGACACACAGGGTAACATGCCGGGGATGGACACACAGGATAACATGCCGGGGTCGGACACACAGGATAACATGCCGGGGATGGACACACAGGATAACATGCCGGGGATGGACACACAGGATAACATGCCGGGGATGGACACACAGGATAACATGCCGGGGATGGACATATAGGATAACATGCCGGGGATGGACACATAGGAGAACATGCCAGGGATGGACACACAGGATAACATGCCGGGGATGGACACATAGGATAACATGCCGGGGATGGACACCTAGGATAACATTCTGGGGGGTTACTAGCTGTAGAAAAAACGTCAAAAGCCAAAAACAGTCGCTGTAAAAATGTCCCGTGTGCATGAGGGCTAAAGCTGGGTGACAAAACCATCTAAATCAGGTTGGGAACCTAAAAAATACGTCGTCTATGTACCTTCACCAACAACAAGGTCTGCACTCAGCTCATCAAACTGCCAGATGAAAATGGTTCCCAATATGTCAAAGAATCTGGCAGATCTGGGTGAAGACCTCGTTCCCTTCGCTGTACCCAACTTTCTGCTGAAAGATTCTGCAACCATAAATAGTAATATTGTAGTATAACCGGATCCTGGACGAGATGAAATCTATTACAATAACTTCCTCCACCAGCAAGCATTCCGCTGCCCACAACCCTTCTCACAATTAATCATTACAAAGAAGTCCCCTCTAATGGGCCTAAAATTCGGCCTTCTTCCCGTCTGATCTCCTTCAATGCCTTCAAGATGCGTGTTGTACCCTTCACCTGCTGCCACCTGTGTAACGCATGTCTCCGGCAGCAGAACGATCGGCTCCCACATGTCGCACAGATCGGTCGCTGGGCAGCCAGTGTTTGTGTGGTGAGAGCGCGCATGCAAAAGACAGCTCTCGGTCCCCACTAACAAGCAGTAGCCAGCAAAACCGTCTTCTGGTCATGTGACCACTGTGACAACCAATCACAGTGGTCAAATGATCGCTTGATTCTTCTTAGTGCGCCAAATATTTCTCTTGTTCACAATTTCATCTGCACTGCTGAGTGTTATTATTGTAAAACTTGGTTTGCGTTGGTACATCTCCCCCATGAATAGTCAGAAATCCTCCTGCGCTATGAAATGGAAGTGCAGACCCTATTCTACAGCTGCCAACACTCAAGGACTGATACCAAAACAGTGTCAATAAATCATAACAAACAGTGTAGCGCTCCTAAAAAACTGTGTCTAATCCACAATAATAGTTCCTAAAAATAAATCAATATAAAATAATATATAATAGTGACAAAAATGAAGAGCCAAACTAAGATTCCAAATGGAAATCTATCACCCCTTTAGGAATAAGTGTACCAACTTATATATAATATGTGACTACTAATTCACACAACCACATGGATAGCGTCATCTACTAGGATTAAGGCAAAAACATCCAAACTTAATCCAATGAGGAAACTCTTAGCAGTGCTCACACAGTGCCACAAAAATAAATAAAAATATATAAATGTGTCCTCCTTGATGAAAGACAATCTTTAAACAACGTCCTTTTGTGGAAATGAATAAAATCATGCAACAGTGACAAATAAATCCGTGACTGTGCCAAACTCTTCTCCTGTTAACGGCTAAATTGCCTCCTCACCTCCTCTAGTGACCCCAAAGGGGCCAACAGGCTTGCAGGATCACCCTGGATCCTTGATTTATAATGGCCAGCAGCTTCCTTCCTTCCCTGGATCTCCTTTATGGGGCTCCTAGTGCCCCTGATCAGTCAAGATGGTTCTGAAGGATCATAGCTCACCAATCCAGTGAGCCAAGAAAAACCTCTAAGTGTAATACTTTAGTAAACTTTGTTTATTCAAAGAGTAAAGAGTAACACTCACATTACAAGCAGTCCCCCCTCCTCACTGATGTGTGGGTACACTGCATGTGAATGGGACTTCCTGGGTGTAGCAAAATGGAAGTCCACCTCCGCAACATGCAGACTCCACCTCCGCAACATGCAGACTCCACCTCCGCAACATGCAGACTCCACCTCCGCAACATGCAGACTCCACCTCCGCAACATGCAGACTCCACCTCCGCAACATGCAGACTCCACCTCCGCAACATGCAGACTCCACCTCCACAATATCACCAAAATCCGCACGTTCCTAACCCCAGAAACCACTAAACAGCTCATCCACTCCCTCATCATATCACGACTCGACTACTGCAACTCCCTCCTCACTGGCCTGCCTCGCCGCTGGCTATCCCCGCTTCAGTCCATCCTGAATACGGCTGCCAGACTCATTCACCTTTCCAACCGCTCCATCTCCACCACCCCCCTCTGCCAATCCCTCCACTGGCCTCCATTCAGTGTCCTCCACCCCCCTCTGCCAATCCCTCCACTGGCCTCTACCCCCCTCTGCCAATCCCTCCACTCAGTGTCCTCCACCCCCCTCTGCCAATCCCTCCACTCAGTGTCCTCCACCCCCCTCTGCCAATCCCTCCACTGACCTCCACTCAGTTTCCTCCACCCCCCTCTGCCAATCCCTCCACTGGCCTCCACTCAGTGTCCTCCACTCCCCTCTGCCAATCCCTCCACTGGCCCCCACTCAGTGTCCTCCACTCCTCTCTGCCAATCCCTCCACTGGCCTCCAATCAGTGTCCTCCACCCCCCTCTGCCAATCCCTCCACTGGCCTCCACTCAGTGTCCTCCACTCCCCTCTGCCAATCCCTCCACTGGCCCCCACTCAGTGTCCTCCACCCCCCTCTGCCAATCCCTCCACTGACCTCCACTCAGTGTCCTCCACCCCTCTCTGCCAATCCCTCCACTGGCTTCCACTCAGTGTCCTCCACTCCTCTCTGCCAATCCCTCCACTGGCCTCCAATCAGTGTCCTCCACCCCCCTCTGCCAATCCCTCCACTGACCTCCACTCAGTTTCCTCCACCCTTCTCTGCCAATCCCTCCACTGACCTCCACTCAGTTTCCTCCACCCCCCTCTGCCAATCCCTCCACTGGCTTCCGATTGCCCAACGGATCAAATTCAAAATCCTAACACTGACGTACAAAGCCGTCCACCATACTGCCCCGAACTACATCACCGACCTAATATCCAAGTACCACCCAACACACACACTCCGCTCCTCACAAGACCTCCTTCTCTCTAGTTCCCTGGTCTCCTCCTCCCATTCCTGCCTCCAGGACTTCTCCAGGGTGTCACACATCCTCTGGAACTCCCTGCCCCAATCCATCAGACTATCGCCTACTCTCCTCTCCTTTAGGCGCACTCTGAAAACCCATCTCTTCAGGGAAGCCTACCCCACCCCCTGCTAACTTGCCTCCCTCCTCCACTCTTCCTACCACTCCATCCCCCACAGCTATCTCCTCCTGTGCCACCATCCCCTCCCTCCTAGATTGTAAGCTCCCAGGATCAGGGCCCTCGATCCCCTCATGTATCACATTGTATTGGTATTGTTCTGTCACATGTTCTGTCCCCCTCTGTAATGTACAGCGCTGAGCCAACTATTGGCGCTTTATAAATACTGTATAATAATAATAATTAGGAAGGGGGAGAAGATCCGCATCCTTGCCCTGGACAATCCTGCCCCAGTACTGCCTTCTGGTGGGGGAGATACAAACTGCTGAGGGGCAATTATCGCCAATGTCTCAGAATGATAGAGTGTTGTTAGTGTTTTTTAATGTATCGAATAAATAAATTCACAATATTTAACCACTAAAACCCGGTAAACTTCCTCCACTTTTATTTATTATTATTTATGTATTTTTTATACAGTAATGAAGACTTAAAGGACAACAATAGAGAAGAGATCGATGATGAGAATGTGAACAATCAAAGCATTTCTACAAAGTCTCCAACACCTTCTGCCATCACTGTGGTGCCTCCCGGGACTCCAACGCCTTCCAAAGAAGCTGCTAAGACTACGAAGTTCACACCGCAGACGACAGAGCGACCCCCCCCCCCAACCGAGCGACCCACTAAGCCCAGCAACCTATTAAGGACTGAAGGACCCCCACGTGTGACCACCACAAGGATGAACGCGGTCACATCTCAGAGTTCTACGCCACCAAGAACGACTCGGAAAATAATCTCCACCACCTATAACTTGGGAGACACGTACGCCGCGGACGACATGCATGGCAATTCTGTAAGTCAGGATTGTATTTTTTTTGGGGGGGGTTACAATTTGTAACTATTGGGCAATGAGTGGAAGACATTTGTGTGAGTTATACAGTATATAGAGGAATCAGGACCTCCTTCCTCCTGCCGGTGACCCCTCTAGTGATAGGATCTATATAGAGGAATCAGGACCTCCTTCCTCCTGCCGGTGACCCCTCTAGTGATAGGATCTATATAGAGGAATCAGGACCTCCTTCCTCCTGCCGGTGACCCCTCTAGTGATATAAAGATCTATATAGAGGAATCAGGACCTCCTTCCTCCTGCCGGTGACCCCTCTAGTGATCTATATAGAGGAATCAGGACCTCCTTCCTCCTGCCGGTGACCCCTCTAGTGATAGATCTATATAGAGGAATCAGGACCTCCTTCCTCCTGCCGGTGACCCCTCTAGTGATAGGATTTATATAGAGGAATCGGGACCTCCTTCCTCCTGCCGGTGACCCCTCTAGTGATAGATCTATATAGAGGAATCGGGACCTCCTTCCTCCTGCCGGTGACCCCTCTAGTGATAGATCTATATAGAGGAATCAGGACCTCCTTCCTCCTGCCGGTGACCCCTCTAGTGATAGGATTTATATAGAGGAATCGGGACCTCCTTCCTCCTGCCGGTGACCCCTCTAGTGATAGATCTATATAGAGGAATCGGGACCTCCTTCCTCCTGCCGGTGACCCCTCTAGTGATAGATCTATATAGAGGAATCAGGACCTCCTTCCTCCTGCCGGTGACCCCTCTAGTGATAGGATTTATATAGAGGAATCGGGACCTCCTTCCTCCTGCCGGTGACCCCTCTAGTGATAGATCTATATAGAGGAATCGGGACCTCCTTCCTCCTGCCGGTGACCCCTCTAGTGATAGATCTATATAGAGGAATCAGGACCTCCTTCCTCCTGCCGGTGACCCCTCTAGTGATAGGATTTATATAGAGGAATCGGGACCTCCTTCCTCCTGCCGGTGACCCCTCTAGTGATAGATCTATATAGAGGAATCGGGACCTCCTTCCTCCTGCCGGTGACCCCTCTAGTGATAGATCTATATAGAGGAATCAGGACCTCCTTCCTCCTGCCGGTGACCCCTCTAGTGATAGGATCTATATAGAGGAATCGGGACCTCCTTCCTCCTGCCGGTGACCCCTCTAGTGATAGGATCTATATAGAGGAATCAGGACCTCCTTCCTCCTGCCGGTGACCCCTCTAGTGATAGGATTTATATAGAGGAATCGGGACCTCCTTCCTCCTGCCGGTGACCCCTCTAGTGATAGATCTATATAGAGGAATCGGGACCTCCTTCCTCCTGCCGGTGACCCCTCTAGTGATAGATCTATATAGAGGAATCGGGACCTCCTTCCTCCTGCCGGTGACCCCTCTAGTGATAGATCTATATAGAGGAATCGGGACCTCCTTCCTCCTGCCGGGGACCCCTCTAGTGATAGGATCTATATAGAGGAATCAGGACCTCCTTCCTCCTGCCGGTGACCCCTCTAGTGATAGGATCTATATAGAGGAATCGGGACCTCCTTCCTCCTGCCGGTGACCCCTCTAGTGATAGATCTATATAGAGGAATCGGGACCTCCTCCTTCCTCCTGCCGGTGACCCCTCTAGTGATAGGATCTATATAGAGGAATCAGGACCTCCTTCCTCCTGTCGGTGACCCCTCTAGTGATAGGATCTATACAGAGGAATCAGGACCTCCTTCCTCCCGCCGGTGACCCCTCTAGTGATAGATCTATATAGAGGAATCGGGACCTCCTTCCTCCTGCCGGTGACCCCTCTAGTGATAGATCTATATAGAGGAATCGGGACCTCCTTCCTCCTGCCGGTGACCCCTCTAGTGATAGGATCTATATAGAGGAATCAGGACCTCCTGCCGGTGACCCCTCTAGTGATAGATCTATATAGAGGAATCAGGACCTCCTTCCTCCTGCCGGTGACCCCTCTAGTGATAGGATCTATATAGAGGAATCAGGACCTCCTTCCTCCTGCCGGTGACCCCACTAGTGATAGATCTATATAGAGGAATCAGGACCTCCTTCCTCCTGCCGATGCCCCCGGAACCTTTTTTGATTTCCCTTCTGCCCAGCAACACTGTTTGCTCATTTTACTCTTCTGTGGTTTCCAATGCTTTGGTAAAATCAATGTTACAATCACTTCCAGGAATGATAACAATATTTCTCACTTTCCGTTATAACGGATTGAACAGAACAGGACCCCGGACAGAGCCTTGGGGTACCCCACTAGTGACTGGTCTGTGTTCTGAATGAGCCCCATTTACAGGCACACTCTGATACTTTAGCCCACCACATATCCATGAACTGCCCAAAGGTTACGTCTTACCAGATACAACTTTCATGAGATTATTATTGTTATACAAATCCGTATCAAATGCTTTGCTGAAATCAACGACACAAAACTACCCAAATATGCAGCCATAAAAATGCAATCAGATCAGTCTGACCTGACGTGCCCTCAGGAGAGCCAGGAGGCTTTGGGTCCAGACTCCAGCAAGTTGCCTGTCTTTACAGTGGGGATGGAAAGTTTGGGCCCCCCAGCTAAAAATGTGTATTAATGTGCATAAAGAAGCCAAGGAAAGATGGAAAAATCTCCAAAAGGCATCAAATTACAGATTAGACATTCTTATAATATGTCAACAAAAGTTAGATTTTATTTCCATCATTTACACTTTCAAAATAACAGAAAACAAAAAAATGGCGTCTGCAAAAGTTTGGGCCCCCTGCAGAGTTAATATCTTGTACTGCCCCCTTTGGCAAGTATCACGGCTTGTAAACACTTTTTGTAGCCAGCCAAGAGTCTTTCAGTTCTTGTTTGAGGTATCTTTGCCCATTCTTCCTTACAAAAGTCTTCCAGCTCTTTGAGATTTCTGGGCTGTCTGTCACGCACTGCTCTTTTAAGGTCTATCCATAGATTTTCAATGATGTTGAGGTCAGGAGATTGTGAAGGCCATGGCAAAACCTTCAGTTTACGCCTCTTGATGTAATCCCCCGTGGATTTCCAGGTGTGTTTAGGATCATTATCCATTTGTAGAAGCCATCCTCTCTTTAACTTCAGCTTTTTCACAGATGGCATCAAGTTACCATACAAAATTTGCTGAAATTTTATTGAATCCATTTTTCCTTCTACTCGTGAGATGTTCCCTGTGCCACTGGCTGCAACACAACCCCAAAGCATGATTGATCCAACCCCATGCTTCACAGTTGGACAGAGGTTCTTTTCATTCAATTCTGTGCCCCTTCTTCTCCAAACGTACCTTTGCTCATTCCGGCCAAAAAGTTCCATTTTAACCTCATCGGTCCACAGAACTTGTTTCCAAAATGCATCAGGCTTGTCTATATGTTCGTTTGCAAAGTTCAAATGATGATTTTTGTGGTGAGGACGTAGAAGAGGTTTTCTTCTGATGACTCTTCCATGAAGACCATATTTGTACAAGTATCTCTTTATAGTGGAATAGTGACCACAACTCCAGTGTCTGCCAGATCTTTCTGGAGGGATCGTGCCATCA